CACATTCATAATATCAGCATTACTCTCCTATTTGCGGTTTAATTGTTCATCATGAATGTCGAGCTTGGAAATTCGCTTAGCACTCAAAGCAATGGATAATTGTAAGTACTAGGTTTCAAGACCTATTTGATTGACGATTGGCAATGCGTGAAGTGTATGGTAATGATAGACATCTTCAGCTTCAAGGCAGGTTCATGAAGAATTATTATCTCTTATCGTAAGTCGTAAAGACTTCTTCTGGCTGAGAAAGTTTATGGATTGGCACTCAGAAATGTTTGCATTTTTCTTCATTTTGAAAGAATGCGAAAGTAAAGGCGATACGGACCAAGATGCATAAGAACTCGTGCGGTCGTGAATGTCTCAGTTGCCACTATGTCACACGGGAGTTGTGAGGTAACTGTACCTGCCGTTCTAGGTGGCATGAGGAAAACTGCTGTTCACCTAAGTTTGTCTTTACCTAACGTAACAGCTATCAGTTTTCATAGGTATATTGTAATAAAACCTTGTCAGTCTTATGGTTCTGAGAATACAACAATGCCAGTTTAGAAAGTGGGACTCAACCCACAAAAAGTACTATAATCTGTACTTTACAAGAAAAAGTGTAATCCCAAATATAACACATGCTTGTATGGTTCTGACTGGGAAATTGACTGTTGGTGTTGAAGGCACCCTTCTTGTTATTCTGTCTTGTGTGGTGTTTCTATCGTTATGTATAGATCCAGATATCAAACATAACGAGGCTGTCTCAGTGGTCTCCATTATTTCTAGCTCAGGTGGGTATATTAGTGGAAGTGTTCCGGCTTTTTGTACCGTTAATGAACAATAGCAGATCATCGCTACTTTGACCTTCAGTCAAAATTCGCTGTTTTGTCTCAGGCAAAGCAAGCAGAAAAACCGACTGAACAGATCAGCAAGACGTGAAGCACAATTGGTGCCCTTGGGGTGTTTACTTCTTGCATTATGTATTATCCCCAAATATGAACAATGATGAAGTCCAGCATCTCACATATCGTTTTCCTAAATATACAGATCACGTTATGCCTTCATATTTGGTAAACTAACGAATCTCTGAAAATAGATAATGTAACTTTATCTATGGTCACCTTGTTCATTAGCAAATGTTATGTGTATCATGTCTTTCTGAAGGTAGTAATATTTGATGGTATTGTCTATGCTTTCCCGAAAAGTTATTGTTAATCGGGACATTGATTTTGCTGGGATATCTGTTGAACCAAGTTGCCATTTTCTACGCGAACGAATTATATAAAGCTTTCTAATCAAGTACAGAGTACGGAAAAGGTTTATAGTCGAACCATAGCTAGTTGACTTACTGATCCGTGATACTGGCGGGCTTTTTCCTTTTTTTCCTTTTTATTAAATAGCGACAGCCAAACTTTGAGTGACGAGTGTCGGGAATAGGAATGGGTGTTTTGTTTCACACCGTTCACTTTGTCAGGTTAAAGAAGACAGACAGTTTAACGCTTAAACGCCAGAATGACAAAGGTTAACCATTTGTATCTTCAAGCTACTTAGCAAAAGGTGGCAGTTCCAAAAGAATCTCATTATGAAATGAGAACTAAGATGTTAAATGCCTCGTTTGTTTGAATTGCATTGTTGGATTTGTCAACGCATTTAACTTTAGCCACAGACCTTTTCGTGTATAATCCATTATCTATGTCTGTGTAATCAACATTTAACACTTCGCAGCATTGCTATGACCTGATTGGACTGTTAGTAGTAGGACTGACATTGGTACACAAATTGCCAATTTGATCCCGGAACAGATACGTCTCATATCAAATATGAACATTTATTGTCACCAACATCTAGTCTGTTCCCCTTGGACATACGGAGAAAACTGCCAGCTGGACTGCTCCATGGGATGTGTCAACCAGACTTGTGACAGGACCACTGGGCGTTGTGACGCGTGTCTAGATGGATGGGAACACGAGGACCTGAACATTACGAAATGCGACAAGGTAGAGATTAGGGTACCCTCGAGGTACCTTTACCGTATTGTTGATACACACTATATTAAGACTACAATAGAGGAATTAAAAGTTTTAGAACAAATCAGTTACGCTGAGCTTAACATTCCAAAACAGGTAAAGTGCAAAAGGACAAATGCAAGCATGTATCTATGACATGTTTATATTTCTTCCACACTGCCTAACTCACCAAATACTTATTAAAGGGGGTAAATATCTGCAATTCAAGAATGACACAATGATATCACCCGCAATGGAAGCAACATACATTGAAGAACCTAAACTCTTGAATCAGTGTTAAGTACGACAGATATCTGGAGTCCCCAAACGGATGTAGCGTGTGTCTGTTTGTCTGAATTGATCGAAGGATGTGTTACGGTGCATACAAGAAGGTGTCTTTTAAAACTATAATTTTGGTTTCAGAGTGCGACGATGGAAGGTATGGCGAAAAATTGTAAGGAAGATTGCAGCATCCACTGTATCAATGCCACGTGTCATCATGTGAATGGCTCCTGTACTCATGGCTGTCTGAACGGAAGAAGTGGATGAGTATTGTGAAGTTTCTGAAGGTAATTGTCAAGGTTTTCATTATTGATTAAGTCAGTATGGTCAACCTTTGAATGGAATAATCCTGGAACTCCGATTCATATACAACTAAGATCTTCACGTGGGAACATATGTGTTAAGTAATGGAATGCTATACAGGGAGGAAACATGCACACAGCACTCTCATTCTTCTCTATGCGCATAGTGTTTCATGAAGCATATATACTGAAGGAAAAAATAAAGGGATCACATGCCAAGCAAAAAGTGTTCCTTTATTTTTTTCCAGGTTCTTCTGAAGCCTTCCTCTCACATACAGCTTGTGAAAGAAACCTGGAAAAAAATTTTACTTTCATTTGATCCCTGTATTTTTTTTTCTCTCAGTATATATTGGAAGCAAAGGGATTCCTAGTCAAAGAACCAAGCGATCGCTATGTAACCCTGACAGGTACTTTCGTCTCACAGATTCATCATGTGAATCTTTTAGGTCTGTTTTTATGGACATAAGAATTTTCAATTCATGAATGCTTATTGAGTACCTTCATTTTCCATTTCCATATTTCTCAGAGCACATCCCATCGTCGTCCTCATATAAACCATCCTCATTACACTCACTATGAGTATTCCTGTAACTGTACCTGCAACAGTGTTACCTCCTCTTCTACCAGTGTACCTGTTATTGTGCAGCCGGTCCCCAGAATGTAAACCTCATCGTTGGACTCCTTCTCTTTCTAATCGTCGCTGATCGCACTTGTCATGTGTGTTGTTTTCTTTCGGTGTGAGTGTTTTCTACTTATTTTGCATGGACTACTAAACCCATAAGCCATTAATCTACAAAACAATACAAGTATTTTAGAGACGAAACACCATGATCAGATATAGATCTCACGTAGTGCGACTGATATTTGTATTATTTGGATGAAAACCAAACATGTGCAATGATATAGTTGAGTACCAGACAAAGTTCAGTGAAGCACAAATTTTGTAATGCAAATTTCTACATGTATATATTTTCATCGCCGAAGTCAAGAAGTCGTACGTGTATTTTTAATTTTTTTAGAGAGAGCCGTTGAGAAGATTTAGGGACAAAAGTAAGTAAAACCAGATGTACATTAAAGTGTATATGCATGGTCATTAGTCCAGTGGTGATGGTAAATTTTGGAAAATATTTCATAACGTGTTCTTTTAATATATTTCTTGTTACACTTTCTTTCTTTTATATATTTGTTGTTACATATGTCACCGTGGAATAATGTAAACGATACCCATGAGATCACACGGTAGTTTGGTAGTTTCGGCTTACTATTGCTCCTGCGTGTGGTTTTCAGAGATTGAAGAAAGGAGTAACTAACGGGATGAACCTACCTATGGCAGCCCGTGGAGGCCAAGATGCATCGGAACATGTGGCCGCCAACGACGAAGACGAGGCTATCTTATGTCAATGTCCCGAGGAGAGGTTCCAGTGGCATCAGTGCCTTCAAGGAATTCGTTGCCAGGAAGAAAGCCACAAAGGAAATATTGGTGAAAGAGTATGCTGTACGTATTGTGCAGGCCTGAGTCACGAACGAGTGGTCCATGTGCATGAAACTGCGCCTACACCCTCCCTCCTGGGAGACAAAGATCAATGTTATGTTATTGGTTGTCCTTACTAAAAAATACGTATTATGCGTCATTTGCTTTTTTAACATATATTTAACATTTACGTACAGTTTTCACATCTCCTTACCTACTGTCATTGAAATTGTGCTTGGTACTACAGGAAGAGATAGTCATCTTCTTCGTTATGCATACCTGGGGCCATCTTTGTTATCAATGATTGTGCATATGAAATATGTTTTAAGATGTATTCCGAATATTTACACTCTGGTGTTGAATTTACAGGAACTCCCTAAAGGCCTGACGGCTATTCACGACAAAGCAGTGACGCAAGTGAACAACCCGAAGAATAGATTTAAAGGAATTTACCCGTGTAAGACACGAGCTTATATTTTCACGATATTGACATAGAACATGAATATCGTAAATTTAATTATTTAGAGTCTACTGTCCATCGAAGACAGGTCTTTATTCAGTCCACTGACTCACCTAAAATTCGTTTTATTACAGCTTTAAAGCACACAATGACATATGTTCGTTATGTACAAATCTTTCTTAAGGATTGCACTTACAGGTGGAGGTGCGTTACAGGTGACATAGTAGTCTACTTAATCAATGGTTAATATATAATGATATTACACCATGATCTTCAAAATAATAACAGTTATTTATCACAGGATTTATAATTCCAATAACATTTCAATATTGAGTACTGAATGTAACTTAATGTTTCGTGACTTTTAGTCACGATATGGCTGAAGTATTGCCTGTATGATTTTACGTGATAACTGTCACGTACATATTGTAAATGACAAATTTGTGCTTGTAATATATTTTTATGAAAGCATTAATACTATTTCTGTAGAATCTAGCTGCTGCAATATACTCATTATCCACCTGAAGAAGGGGCAAGAACTAGCCCAGAAACGTTGTGAAAATAAATCAAGAAGTTGTTATCCATAAGATTTGTCTTGTATTACAATATACTCCTAATAATACGATTCAAACGTTTTAACGAAAATAGCGGGGAACGATATTCTGTTGAATTTCCAATTGTTCATTTGTTTGCCTTTACGTAACCTTTGGCGTAGGTTCGAGTTTCCAATAATTGGATTCATAAAATTTCTCTTCTACAGATTCACAGACAATATGTTTTAAAAACGACTTGACGAAGCTCGGTATTTATCATTGCAAAATACGTTACGAGCGATAATTAGATAATTCCGTTCTTGTAAGTTGCCATTACTTAGAACGAAATCATACATTTTGATGTAACAATGCGAAGTCTTTAAGAGTTCAATCTGAAACTGAAATCACGACTGCACATGTAGATTATACTTTGAAAAGTACTGTACAGGCAGTCCAGGTGAGACAGGTTTCTTTTGATGCAGATTAAGTACACCTGAATGTAAATAGTTACAGATTATAGGGTCATGATTTGTTTCAGATAACCACTGTCTGGTAGTTCTGAAAGGGAATGGTGGCAGCAGTGGCTACATAAACGCCAGCTACATCGATGTGAGTTGACGGGATTCTCTTCATCAACCCGCTGAAATACTGCTTGGTCAGCTAATTGGAAATGATTGTGAAAGCACCTATGAGTGTTTCATTGAGTGAGTGAGTGAGTGAGTATGTTTCTGCACCGCTTTTAGCAATATTCGAGCAATATCATGGCGGGGGACACCAGGAATGGGCTCCACATTGTACCCATGTGGTGAATCGAACCCGGGTCTACAGAGTGACGCGCGAACGCTTTAACCATTAGACTACCCCACTGTCCCTATGAGTGTTTCAGCACACTCGAATATTAGATATTAATTTAATTAAACCACTTTGTTGCAAACGTTGATTTCCTCTTTAAACAGACACACTGACAAATGGTTGTAAGATGCATATCACTTTATTACCTATCAAGCTATTTAAAGGCTACTGATTCAATCAAGGTGTATTGTATTTTGCAGGGACGAACAAGGGGAAAACAGTACATCGCAACACAGGGTAAACAAACCTTTTGACATCTAAGTCTGAAAATATATATATGGCAACATTCACGCCACTTCCAATAGGGCAGTAATTTCTGAGATTTCCGAGTTCAGTAAAGTACAATGCCATTCAGGTCATGAGATGTTAAATATAATATCCTTCATTCTGTCCTGTTTGTCAACCCCTGAGATGGTCATGTGTTAAATGAGATATCCCACATTCTGTCTACTGTGTCCATCTATTTAACCTCTAAGATGGCCAAATGTTAACTACTATTTCACACATTCTGTCTTCTGTATCCTGTTCTTTAATCCCTGAGATGGCCACGTGTTAACCACGATATTTGATTATATATCTTCTCAGTCCGTATACTTTATCAATAAACGTAATATTGTATTCCATCCTAAGAGAGCAGCATGTTGACTAAGATATCCCACATTCTATATACTGTATACTGAATTAATGAACCAGTTATTCTCCAAGTGTCAGTCACATGGTTACTAAACTATGACCTCGGTGCCAGGTCCTCTGCCTAACACTGTTGTGGACTTCTGGAAGATGATTTGGCAAGAACAGGCTCCTGTCATTGTCATGCTGGCCAATATCACGGAAGATGGGAGGGTGATATTTAGTTTCGATATCAGTTCAATGATAATAGTACTTTTGATGTAGCCAATGAAACAATCATCGCTTAATAATGTCAGTATCCTATTTCAATGTGCAACCATTATGCTTGCTGAAACAGCCTAACCGAAATAATTGATAAACAAGAGTTGCTTTGAAAGACATGTACTAACGGACACCTGCTGTTAAATGGCATACTAGTATGTGTCGATCCTACTGTTAGAAGAGGACATGCATATCCTTTTCGTGGCAACACCTTGTGTCATCACTGTTTTTCACCGATCAGTTCAAATATTTTTCATTGCTAACCTTTTGTGCCCTATGTGGAACCTGTTAGGGCAAATATGCGAGACTGCATATTAATTTCCTGGTGCTGACGATTTGAATTTAACATCTATGAATGTCTTCTGTCACAGAGACGCTGTGAGCCGTACTGGCCCAATGAACAAGGAGAGGACACCAAGACGTTCGGCCCCTGGAAGATTACAGTGGCTGACTCCTGTCCTCTGGCTGACTTCACCATCAGAACACTCACGATAAAGAAGGTGGGAGTGACAATTTCAATTTAGTTAGTTCAGAAAAGGTGTGGAATTAGTTAAAGACCCTTCCTTTTAGTTGAGTGGCTCCGTGGTGCAGTCGATGGAGCGTCTGCTCGGAGAGCCCTGAGGTCAGTGTTTCAATTTCCGGCCCCATCTTACTGAGGACATTAAACGACGGTACTTGCTATCCTGCCCAATGCTCGGGATTAAAGAGATAACACAATACATGTTGGCTTGGAGTCTGTATATACATTAGGGTATCGATTTTAAACTGCACTGTGGTATCCCAGTGACATAGCAATATATCGTCGGACAATCGAAAAGACACAAACACCGAAATACCTAAAGCTCTGTGTAGTTCAGTCCGGAGGACTCTGCAATCACGATTCAAGGCATAGTTTGACTTCCTCAACTTTTTTAGAAGAAATTACCCTTCCTCACAAACTTATTGCCGACATATAGAATTGTTTGCTAATTGATATTAATTTAGGTTGAACCTAGAATTATATACATAAGCATATCTTCCATAGGGAGGCATGCAGAGGACGGTGAAACATGTTCACTACATGGTGTGGCCTGACAAGGATGTGCCAGACAACACCATGTCTCTGGTGGAACTCAGGAACAAAGTCAGGACCTTCTGTGACTTCGCCCAAGGACCCATGGTCGTACACTGCAGGTACAGTCACACCTGGAGTGAGTGAGTGAGTTCAAATCTGACTTTACATGAGCAATATTGCAGCTATGCCGTGACGAGATCACAATTGAATTATACATTTAGACTGAAAAAAAACATTAAAAATATAATTACTCGATTATCTCAGATTATATCTAAAGCTAATTTAGGAATACTCAGCGGTTAACATTATAATTCAATAATCCGAAGTTTGGCCAGAGTTCGACAGATGGAGTGTATAGAAGAGCGTATACGAGTTCGGCTGGACATGTTTCACTTCAATGCTCATGACCTTTGTGATGTATATGTTCATATATCGTCATTAAACTTTAACTTCATGTATTCTTTAAAGCAGTCCCCAAGGTCCCCAGTATGATGATCTACCTTCAGTTGCTGGTGATCTATAGCCCGTTTTTGGTATATTGTACTGCTGTCTCTAATGATTTATTTTTATGATAGCGTACTAGTTTTAAATTAAGAGCTGTCATAATCTAGTATTTTTACTGTCCTTCGATGACAGGTTTTTACGTTCTAAATTTATTGATTTTACTATTGCTATAAATTAAATTGTTCTCGTCACGATGTGGCTGCAATATTGCCGATGTGACGCTAAATATTAACTCACTCACCGACTCTTTAAAACAGTTTGTTGACAGATATTACCACATACGATACAAGCTTATAAATAACTTATATAGACAAATCAGATTTACGGCGTCTCATCTTTGTATACCGTCCGTAAGAACTAGAAGTAGACAGGCGTGGTAAATTATTACATCTTCCATCCCCTGCCCAGTGCTGGTGTGGGCAGAACAGGAACCTTGATTGCTCTGGACTCCCTGATAGAAGACGCAGAGACCCGAAACATGGTGGACATCTACGGCTGTGTCTGGCGACTCAGGAACTGCAGAGTCAGTATGGTACAGACACAGGTCAGTAGATGCAGGGAAACCTCACACGGTAATGGGAATAAGGGATGTTAGACGTACAGTTGAAAGCAAAGTGGATCCGGAAACGCCTCTACAAACGTTTTTGTCTGAACGCAGGACGATGTCATCAATGATATTGCAGTGACATACACAGGAACATATATGAGATAGTAATGATTTTATTGTAAAAGTTTAATTATTTTATCTCTGTGTCAAGGTTTGTTTTTAAGATGTTTCTTAAATGTTCTGGTTATTGTATTGTTTTTTTATGTTCACACACGTGACGCCAATGTTATATTGACATTTCCACTCAATATTCAAATGCAAGATTAATGACATTGACTGTAACATATACGTATATTATTCTATAGTCCCAGTATGTGTTCCTCCATGACTGCCTCCTGGACGCTCTGTGCCATACAGTCCTCTCCACACCCGCCAGTCTCTATGGCATCGCTCATCAACAGCTAAAGAAGAACTCCAACCTTGCTGTTGCCTATCAGGTGGGTTATGTTTGCTCCAAGTTAACCTTGTAATGATGGACGTAATTGTACATCAGACATGAACATGCTTGATAACGGTACAAGAATCTCCATCGAAACGTCCCACTCAAAAGATGTTGACATCCATAAAATTGGTCATTATTGACTCGATAATTATCTATACGTTCGTTATATACATAGAGCTATTATGGTGCTGGGCACTATTTCACAAAGCAGCCTTAGCGCCACGACTTAACACTTATGTCGATAGTCGTAGCGCTATGATGGCTTTGAGAAACAGGGTCCTGGTTACACAGGAACTACAACACATTAACCTGTACTCTCCAGAAACTCTGCGAGTGCCCTGAGACTGACCATGTGAGTGACGCTGCCAGGGACCTAGAGAACATCGGCAAAAACAGAAACAAGGACATTCTTCCTGGTAGGTTTCACAGTGCCAGTCAAACCGACAAACTGGAATCTCGCTATAGTGAAAGATGCAAACCAAACGTACAAATCCTTAACCTTTAGTTAAGCATGTACGTCAGTTCACACTGTAAGCAAGGGTAAGTCATTGCATCTTTCAATGGACAAATGAATACAATATTGATATACTGGAGACGAGATGCAAATAGCTATGCATGAATGCACATGTATACAAAGGTTTCAGATGAAGACTACTCTCAATCTCTGTACCACTTTATTACAGGAGACAAGCATCGCGCTACTCTGTCAACACGCGAAGCAGGGGGCACCGACTACATCAATGCAGTCATCGCTCCGGTGAGTATTTATCACTCTCCCGATGTCATACATCACTCAAACTCATTTTCACGACTAACTGACCTGGTTGACATCATCGTATCCCATTTGCACAGATTGATGCTTCTTATGCTGTTGATCACTGGATTATTTGGTTCAGACTCGATTATTTACAGACCGCCGCCATATAGTTGGAATATTGCTGAGTGCGGCGTTAAACAACAAACCAACCAACCAGCCAATATTTTTGTCACAAATGTGTCAATCTATATATTATCTGTCTGTTGTCATAGAAATCTTGAACAAACAAAAAAATATACTAAAATATATGTTTTTCATAATTTTCTAAGTAAAATGTGAAGCATTGGTTATTCTTTCACATATCCCTTGGTGATTCACATTTCAGTCCTATGAGAAGCGACGCGCGTTCATCCTCACTCAAATCCCCTGACGTCCACAGTTGTTGACTTCTGGCGTCTCGTCCACGACTATGACGTCCGTGGCATCGTCCTGCTGGAGAACTACACCGACATGGACGCGGTGAGTCTTCGGATAAAGACCCGTGAAGATCCGGGTTAGAATGTACCTCCAGTAACCCATGCTTGCCGTAAGAGGCGACTAACTGGATAGGGTGGTCAGGCTCGCTGACTTGGTTGACACATGTCATTGTATCCCAGTTGCGTAGATTGATGTACATGATGCTTATCACTGGATTGTCTGGTCCAGATCCGATTATTTCCATATAGCTGGAATATTGCTGAGTGCGGCGTAAAACTAAACTCACTCACTCACTCACAGGATAAAAAGAACACGATACAATGCGATTACCATAGAATAAAACATGTACCGTTTGCTACTGAACTAACGTAAAGTTCTGACAAGAACAATGAATGAATTCAGGTGGCACAAGTGAATACTTTTAACATCGTAATGTATTATCTTTCAGTATGCTCGTGTAATGTTTTACTGTGTGTCAGTTATGGTTTACCTAACCTAACAAACCGATGTGAGTTTTAGTGTTTTACTAACAAACAAGACAATGTTAAATTATCCATTTCTCCCGTTTTGAACTCAGAAGTGTGGCATGTTCTGGGCCAAAGACAAAAAGCCGACCAAGTTTGGTCCCTTCAGCGTTAGTGAAGGGAAGATTGAGGAACATACCGGCTTTACTATGGAGAAAATCTGTTACAGCCAAGGGGTAGGTATAAAGGACCTTGATGCCTGAAAACACACGTGAATAAATGCTTCATGGATGAGACTTTGGAGATCGTGAGTATCAAATGAGACTGATGTACCAATAAAGCTAAAGAATGACACGCAGGTATGTATTATATACGAGAGAGTGAAAGCTAAGGAATGACACGCAGGTATGTATTATATACGAGAGAGTGATCAAATGAGACTGATGTACCAATAAAGCTAAAGAATGACACGCAGGTATGTATTATATACGAGAGAGTGAGCTGCTTAGTTGTTGAAGTAATATGTCAAGACAGCGATGATATCAGCTGACGGATCAGAATTTCTTCTGTACTTCTCGGGGAGGTTCAGTCGCCCAGTAAAAGCGTTGACTCTTCAGGCCGATGACAGGGTTCGATTACAAGTATGGTGAACTGGCTTCCTCCACAGTGATATGGCTTGAATCGTATGGCGAACTGGCTTCCTCCACAGTGATATGGCTTGAATCGTATGGTGAACTGGCTTCCTCCACAGTGATATGGCTTGAATCGTATGGTGAACTGGCTTCCTCCACAGTGATATGGCTTGAATCGTATGGTGAACTGGCTTCCTCCACAGTGATATAGCCATCGTATGGTGATATCCACAGTGGCTTGAATCGTATGGTGAACTGGCTTCCTCCACAGTGATATGGCTTGAATCGTATGGTGATAATGCGGCCTAAAACTCCATTCACTCCATTCGCATTTTCGGAAAGGAACCAATGCATGTAGATATTGTCTTTAAACACACACGTGTAACCATTTCATTAGAAGACAGCTGTATATTTTAGTTCCTGAACATCAAAAGGTCATAATTCGGGTCATTACAATTCATTTTAGTCTGTTTCAAGTTACCTGCTACCTTTCTGAGACGTATGTTTAGTTGTCATGTGAATCTGACGTTAAGCTGTGCTCAAAGCAAACTTTCACTGCATAATTGTAGACGATGTGGGCAACAGCGTACGATTTGACTAGGCAATTAATAAATGCAGTTTCTAAACGTGTAATGAAAAATGTTGGAATGTGAAGACTCATGCTGCTTGAAATGAAAATCATGAGTATTATTCTTTAAAAGATCGAACATAAAAAGCATCTATTTTAACGGATGAATAAAATTTTGAATTTGTCTCTAATGGCAAAATAGCATTACCTCAAATATCTCATGATGTAAAAACTATTGAATTGACTATTTTCACTTGACAAACAAGAAGGAACATGATGGTTTCAGATTAACAGGGAAGCATGTCTCTGAGATCACCATTGATATAAAAAAACTGATAAAAGATCGTGATTGTCGGTGACGATATACATCCTTGTTCTGCACGTATACACGACTTCCACGTTTTGTACAGTATTAGAATCTACACCGTATCAACACGGAAGCTGGTGCTGTGGACGGCAGTAACTGATCCCTGCTCGTGCTGGTATTAAATATGAAACTCCTGGTTTGGTCAAGTGCGACATCAACATGCATGTAGAATGTAATGTGCAATGGACAGCCCGCATGGTGTGTTCTCACGTTGTTCCTGGTTCTAGGGTAACCCGTTCCGTGTTCTGTAGAAGGATGTACTGTACAATGAAACTCCAGCTTCGGGTTCACCAGATGTTATCCGGCCTGATGACGTGCAGTGATCAGATATTTTGGCTCTGATAGTATACTTCCCATCAAAAGTTTAGACTCACTTAAAGCACTCACTATATGCTATGCATATATATATGGTTGCATCGAAGATTGATTTCTCCACTAACTTAGGGGAACCAACTGCAGACCTTATGCAGATGAATTGCACGAGGATAATGCATCAAATTGCTGAAATGCATGTGCAAATATCGTGCATGTGAACAGCTGCATTTTGGTGTAAAGTTTTCTTTAGAAATCGCCAATTTACACTGATTTGTATCATTTATTGAACTCATGACAATAATCTTTTCAGCGTTACGAATTTCTTTTACAATACATCAGTTCATGTGTAAACGGTACCTTTAAACATTAAGGAATTTTGCAAAATTTTTTAGAACAGTTGCCTGAAGTAAGTGGCTATATGTACACCAGTGAGTCTAAACTTCTGATGGGTAATATATTTGCTACTTAATCTGATATACCGGATCATGTTCCGGGGCCACATGTTTATAACGTTACAGTATTTAACACTGTTATGGAGTAGTGATCTGATATAGGCACGCAGAATGCAAAACTGGAAAAATCGGTGCACTTGTTCGTGAAGTCTTCAAATTACATGTATATGTCAAAACGCCGTTTGCACCAGTACTAGAAATCTGAATGACACATGTACATATTTGAAGAAGCAAGCATTGTCCATACGAAGAGGGTTTCCATCATTCAACAATCTTCACACACATGTGGTGTCTTGTTCAAGGCCCAGCCACGAAGACCCCGGTTCGATTCCCCACATGGCTACAATGTGTGAAATCACATTTGTGGTGTCTCACGACGTGATATTGCTGGAATAGTGCTAAAAGCGATATTCACTCACTCACTCCGTTCGTGTGGTTCACCGGTTGTGTGTCGCCACGACCTGGGACGATGTTCATGCTTTCAGTCACTGTTGTCTGTGGCTCGACTTTATATTGAGGGTTGTCACAAAGTACAGCTACATGTACAATAAAAAGCACAGGTCGAATTTGAAAAACATTACTATGTTCAACTGCAATCCTGCGTGCCCTTTCACAAGACAAGTACGTTACCGAGAATGTGTGCAACACCGTGAGCTGTTACCGCTGCTCTTCGCGTCATTGGCCCAAACTACGTAAATCTACGGATTCTGTACCGATAAGTTCTCCTCCATTCTTCCTGAAAGCAGAGGTTACTTGAGTACGTATCCTACAAAGATTTTATCGGGTTTGGATCCGGCAGATGAAGGAAGTCAACAGGGACACGAGTTGTGTGTCCAACTAACTGTCTGTTGACAATCTGTAGAAGGCGACGTTGAAGAATTTGGTCGATGTACCAATTTGCAGTTCCGGACCACCATGTTATATTTGGTGAGAGAGATATGGCTTCCAGATATGGCTCCCTCCACTTCCGCCCCCTAATCTGTCAAACGCAATACGGTGAAAACCTTCATTTCGAAGTCATTAGACACGCTGTATTGCGTTCGAGCAGAAACCATGATTTATCGCTGAAAAGATCCTCGGAATCCATGCCTATGCGTTGTTGCTCCAAGGCCTGTGTTGTTGCCGATGAAGTCTTGTGCATTGTGTATTCATAGTAGAGAAATGTATGACAAAATGATGACTGATTTTTACTATTTATAACCCTTCACACAGCACAATTGTCACAACGTGTACGCGCTTTCTGCTTTTAATTCTTTTCCTTGACGTTTTCGTGTCTTTCAAACGTTGTTCACTAAAGCTACAAACGTTTACAACTGTTGTGTGTATGTTTTCACCATTCGAAAATTATTATATATTTGTATTGAATGTTTCATGAATATACAAAATCAACATTATATCCTGTGCGTTCCTTTTTTGAAGAGTGTATCACTGACTGCAGCATGCCTCAACTGATCTCCCTTTGATATATATGGATTTGTTCCTCCAAACAGAACGTTGAAAGGGAGGTAACCGTGTTCCGTTCTCCCGCCTGGCCTAAGAAGAGTTCACTTCCGGAATCACCATCTAGCCTCCTCAGCTTGATCGACTTCCTCAGACAGTGGAACGCTGGTGCTCCTTCACCCCTTCTAGTTGTCTGCAGGTACCACTAGCCTGTACAGTAGCCATTAACAACATTCAATATCTCATTTTGTATAGTTACAGTCTATGACTGTTAGTGTTACACAATGTATACATGTAGGGAGATATCCATAGTTGTTACCAACGTGGTGCCTAATAAGCCATTTTCGAGTTTTGCCATTTAGAGTTGTCTATCCTTTATGACACGTGACCAGGGGCATTAATGGCTTACTCTGTTTCAGGGACGGAGCCACCAGAAGCGGGCTCTTCTGTGTTATTGCCAGCGCAGTGCAGCGCCTGCTGTTGGAAAAGGAAGTCGCCCTCCAGCAGACGATACGCAGCATACGTTTTGTCCGGAAACAAGTTATTCCCAACCTGGTATGGAAATATTGTTTACGCAGTCATTGGGAACATGGACATATTCCTTTTATTCGCGGTACGAGAACCAAAGCTGCATCAGATCCAAATCGCGCAGATTCTTGGTTTGCCTTCACCATATTGGTGCTTATTGGTTGTTGATTTTTATATCCGACATTTTGAGTCATTTCTGGCTCCTAGAAGGCTCAAATTCCGATATGCAACCCATATACTGTTCGTAGCAACAGTTCATTAATTATGTCATTATATAACGAAGTATGACGATTTATGAATTTAGAGCATACTCGGTAGCAGAAGAAGAATGTGCCATGGGCATATCGTTCACAATGGTGACAGTGCATTAAATAATCATGAGTCTGACAACTCATTTGGCTTAAAGTACCAAGAGTGCTAACAGTTACTGGAACTTGCATGAATGTTTTCATTATATACTCTTAAAAAAAAAGTAGGGGAACTTCGTTTCTGAATTTACAGTTGAAACAATTGGGAGATATATCGCAGTCAATCAATGTTGATATGATCATAATGAATATTTTTAGAGTGCATCGTCAAATGTACTTCCTTATGACCATGTACAGTAATCGCTCTTGAAAGATGATTGGTGTATGACGGGAAATTGCATGTGAACGATATTCATTTTCAAACAAACAAAAAAAAACACGGCTAGAGACAAACACTAACAATTGTGAGATGCAAGATGATTGTCAAAACTAATGGTCTACATTTATTTATCGACTTTCTTGAAAACCTTCAAAATCAAGAATGACACCAAATGCACGTGTATGGGGCTACTGTACTGTGCACGTGCATTCCCATGCGTTGTGTTTAGGGGTGGTGATAAAGAGAAATGGTGGTGCGTTCATAAGATGTCTGTCTTTGCAAGGTTTGCTTACGCTTATACTTCCTATCCAAATTCAAAGTTCCCCTACTTTTCTCAAGAGTATAGAATCATTTACAGAGACTTGGCTTCGAAGTTATTACTGCATTTTTTTATTATAATTTCAGGAACAATTTGAATTCTGCTATGACTCTGTGAAGGCCTACATGGACAGTTTCCAGGAATACTCAAACTTTGCTTGAGATGAAGTTTCATTGAGTTAGTTCGCTAGGTGTTCTTTGTTGAGTTTTCTTTCTTTTTTCACTTTGTTACAATTCCATTATGTATGTTTTCTATTTTTTCGTTTCTTGAAAATGTATTTACAAATCTTCGTTTCTTTTTAATTCAGGTCGCCTGTGAGCATTGTTCACATGACCGACAATAAATGCGATGTCAGTAGCAATAAAAATGTGAAATTCACATGCCTGCCTCTTCCAGATGGATCTCATTACTGTAAATATTTTGTGAGAGCATCTTTCAAAGAACTGTTGTCAGTGTTATCACATAGCGAGGTATGTATGTTAACATGTAGAATGTTAACATCGAGGTGTATGTTAACAAAGAACAGTTGTTCAGTGTTATCATATAACATGGGGAAAAAATAGAGGTGTATGTTAACATCATGGGGAAAAAAGAACTGTTGTCAGTGTTATCACATAGCGAGGTGTATGTTAACATCGGGTGAACAAAGAACTGTTGTCAGTGTTATCGTTGAGGTGTATGTTAACATAGCGAGGTTGTCAGTGTTAACATAACGAGGGGTGAACAAAGAACTGTTGTCAGTGTTATCACATAGCGAGGTGTATGTTAACATCGGGTGAAAAAGAGAACTGTTGTCAGTGTTATCATATAACGAGGTGTATGTTAACATCGGGTGAAAATAGAACTGTTGTCAGTGTTATAACACATAGCGAGGCGAGAAAATAGAACTGTGTATTATCACATAGCGAGGTGTATGTTAACATCGGGGAAAATAGGATCTGTATTCCTAAATATCTCGCAAGGCTGATAAACTTGCTATTTTCAGATATTTTGATTATTTCTTTTGTTTTGTTTTATTCAACATGTAGTTTTAATACTTTTTCTTTTTATATTATATGTAGATAATATGTTTAAACTTTTTATAACATTGCAGTTAACACTTCCTCAAATATTACGAAACTAAAAAATCTGACTGTTCTGGAAAGTGTCTCCTTTGTTCTTGCTGTTTCCAATACAGATGTCCCGTTTATTTCTCCTGATTTAGGAACAGTTTCTCCATGTTAATTGTTCTGGCCTTAGTGTGTGTGTCAATTTAGATTTCATATATATAACAATAAATAAAGCGACAAACCGTCAGTAAGTATTACCCTCTATGCAAGAAGTGATTATGTCGGCTTTAGGCTCCAGTAAATGTATGTGTAGATCGCTGAGAGAAATATTCTGGGGAAAGTGAATTAAATCATGTTGAAACACAACGTTATTGTTAAATGATCTATCATGAATGTCACATTTAAATAGTAGGTATGAAATTTATGTTTAAGAGCATACCCGTAACTGTCACCTTGTTAATGACTTCTCTCCTGTGGATCTCGGCAAGTTACTAGTATGCTCCCGTAACTGTCACCTTGTTAATGACTTCTCTCCTGTGGATCTCGGCAAGTTACTGGATGCTCCCGTAACTGGCAACCTTGTTAATGACTGTGGATCTCGGCAAGTTACTAGTATGCTCTGTGGATCTCGGCAAGTTACTTGTATGCTCCCCGTAACAAATACAATTTATGTACAATGTTTAGAATTGAGAAATGCATTGAGTTTGATCTTTTGAATCGATTCGTTTTTAATGTTTTTTTAATTGCTTTTTATATATTATACTTGTTTAATATGTGATATCATTATGCTTCGTTTATTTTTATCCTCTAAATAACAAATATAACCATAACATTTGATAAAATACCACATCAGTATCGTTCCGGACAACTGAAGCCCAGTTAAGAATGTTGGATCAAACGTGATTATTTTCAAGCAATGGATAGGGTTTTTGTCGATGACTTGAACCAACTGAAATCGGCAGTCGAATAAATATGCAATGTCACAAGGGACAACCTTTAAGCGCCTTATATCGATGTCAGGTTTGCTTGCTCAATAATATTATGTTCCGAGTGTGTCTTGATCAGTTTGGGGAAGTCTCTGCACGTGAAATGGCTGCAAATCATTTAGTTGCTTGTAATGTAACTACTAAAAAGGAAGGCCATTCAAAGAATGACATATGTGATAAAAGTATTATTACCCATGTCAGGTGCTCACATGAAAGTATAAAAATAGATACAATTTGTATTCTTAAGAGGGGTAGGGCAGGACATGCCTACCCGTTTCGCTTCTTTTGTCATCACTGATTTTCAGAGGTTGATTCATATTATTTTCACCGCGGTTTTGCCGTTTACACCGACTGGAATCATATAGACATTTATTCAGAAAAGATATATTGAGATTTAAACATTCTGTATGAGAATGTAATTTGAATGCACATGATCAACATTCAAACATTTTGTGGTATGAGCCAATTTCAACGGAATTATATATACAAAACGCAATTTTCTCACAAATCAAACATAAACGTTAGAAATTGTTTTCCAGTTGTTTGGTATTTCTTTCGAAAAGTCTTGTATACGATCTAGACCTTAGCCAATGTGAACACACTTTTAGCATAACAGAGAGAAGCACAGTTGGGCAGAACATTCGTGAATGCTCCGATCTTTTCAGGCGATAAGATGGAAATGTTAACCAAGGTCAGGATATTACCACAACACCTTATGGATGTTTTCAGTTATTTTGCATGCATCATCTCAGAATATTACATTTGTTTTATGTTCTTTTTTATACATTATATTCAAAAGGTATTTTTATATTACGTTTAACAAATAAATGCTTTTTAAGTATTTATGGTGTGTTGATTTATTGTTACAGTTGCTTGTATCAACAGAAACGTCTACTTTTCCAATTAATTACCAATATGACCACCATAGTTATGATAGGGTGCACTTCATTCTTCACAGGGTTACACAGACAGACATTTAATTATAACATTGCACAAAGGATAACGTCCCAGTCCCTGTTTGTCGTAAGATATAACTACAGAAGATCGAGCGGTAAGGTACATTTATTTACCCAAGGTGGTAACCCTAGGTGTTAAAGTGACATCGTAACAGAGTAGAAGTTGCTCATACTATCAACCACTAGGTTGTTTTCTGAACCAGACTGTATTATGAACAGCCTACCTACCGTGAAGGTCCGGGTTAGAATGAGCCTTCAGTAACCCTTGCTTGTCGTAAGAGGCGACTAATGGGATCTGGTGGTCTGGTTCGCTGGCTTGGTTAACACATGTCATCGGTTCCCAATTGCGCAGATCGATGCTCATGCTGTTGATCACTGGATTGTCTGGTCCAGACTTGATTATTTACAGACCGCCGCCATATAGCTGGAATATTGCTGAGTGCGGCGTAAAACTAAACTCACTCACCCACTTGAAATAGCTATGAATGTGACGTAAAGTATTCCACTTTTTAACAATTTGAATTGGGTTGTTTTACCCAGTATCACTCACAGAGCGGACATCCGTATTGAAAAATGTGATATTAACAACGAAATAGTGCACGGTATTTACTTGGGTTTACATCGGTATCCATAGTAACGTAAAGTATGAAGCAATCACGCAGGGCCTGGGGACAAGTGGCTGATTTGCTCGAACTAAATAAATCAAACACCGTGATATTCAGGCTTGTTTATGTTCCGTTGGCGGAAGGATAATTTACCGTTAGAGAACCTTCATATCAATAATGGAACACGCTGATGGCTTTGATGAAATGGTGTAGTCTAAATAGTGTTGGTATATACAAGGATAAGCCTCTAGCATGTTATCAGCTTTCGCTCGTTGAATACGTTTTGAACCAACTCACTGTAAGATAAATGGTACCTGACAGACACTCGTGTAGTAATCTCTGTGGAGGTAATAGATGAGTGTAGATAACATACAGTGTTGGTTTCTGGTCGTCATCATAACTAGTTTATTCTATTTGCTTCTTTTTGAAACCATTCTACTGTATCTGTATGTGTGGGGGCGGTGGGATAGCCTAGTGGTTGAAGCGTTCGCTCGCCACGTTGAAGACCCCGGGTGCAATTTCCCACATGGGTACAATGTGTGAATCCTATTTCTGATATCCCCCCGTCGTGATTTCCTGGAAGTCCGACGTAACACCGTACTCACTCACTGTATGTTTGTGCTACAGTACAAAAGATGATTTCTTAAACCACAGAGACAGAATAACGACAGACGACTACACCAACCTTACTCCCACAATAAGTGAAGAGGATGAATGGAATAGGACAGTATACTGTCTAACCAAGGATATGGGGAGGGTTTAACTGAGAATAGTACCTTGTATTGTCTTTTCGATCATGTAGCGATGGTATAAATGAGAATAGTAACTTGTATTGTCCATTCAAGTATGCGTGGAGGATGTAAATGAGAATAGAGCCTTGTATTGTCTATTCAAGTGAGTGAGTGAGTTTGGATTTACGCCGCTTTTTGCAATATTCCAGCAATATCACGGCGGGGGACACCACAAATGGGTTTCACACATTGTGCCCATGTGGGGAATCGAACCCTGGTCTTCGGCGTGACGAGCGAACGCTTTAACCACTAGGCTACCCCACCGCTATGGTCTATTCAAGCATGTAGAGAGTGTATAGATGAGAATAGTACCTTGTTTTGTCTACTCAAGCATGTCGGGTGGGTATGAATGGGAATAGTACCATGCATTGTCTACTCTAGCATGTAGGGACGGTATAAATGAGAACAGTGCCTTTGATGATCTACTCTAACATGTAGTGAGGGTATAGATGAGAAAAGTAAAAACTCAACTCACTCACTCAGAGTAATCGACATTTCGCAATACATCAATGAGCAAAAAATACATTTTGAATGAGATTAAAATGTTTATTAGTTTAGTAGAGTGTGTATGTCGACTGAAATTCAAACATGGATTAACATCAGCGTCGACTGTACGACCAACAATGCCAAACTTGATGTAAAAAGTATTAAATGAACTGACAACATCTTTAGAGTTATTACTAATGACCAGTAAAGCGCAAGACAAAAAGAACGCTGAAGTAAACACATGTAGTACATATAAAACAGTACAAGTAGAACATCCAATTACTTCATACTGCCTTGTGGTTAAAGCATCCGCTTGTCACACTGAAGATCTGGCTTCGATTCCCCAGATGAGTACAACCCATTTCTGCTCTCCCTCATTTTTCCGAAATATTGCTAAAAGAGGCGTAAAACGATACTCACTCACCCACTCCTCCTTGCAGGGATTATTGGTCCAATGTCCTCTGCCACTACAACTAACGC